TCACAGGAGATGGACTTCTTACATGGCAGCTGGCTTCTTCTGGGTATCCCAAAAGAACCAGGAGGAAGCTGCATGACTGTTTATAACCTAGCCTAGAAGTAACACAGACCATTTCCATACTCTCTCGCTTAAAGCAGTCATAAGACCACCCAGATTCCAGGAGAACAGAGATGCCACCTCTTGAAGAGAGAAGTGTCAAAGAAAGAGAAACATTTATTGATTGATTGATTGAGACAGAGTTTCACTCTTGTTGCCCAGGATGGAGTAAATGGTGCAATATTGGCTCTCTGCAACCTCTGCCTCCCAGATCCAAGCAATTCTCCTGCTTCAGCATCCCAAGTAGCTGGGATTAAAGGCATGCACCACTAACACCCAGCTAATTTTTTATTTTTAGTAGAGATGGGGTTTCACCATGTTGGTCAGGCTGGTCTCAAACTCCTGACCTCAGGTGATCCACCTGCTACCTCCCAAAGTACTGGGATTACAGGCGTGAGCCACCATGTCCAGGCTGAAACATTTTTTAAAAATTAACTTTGTTAAAATACAATTTATATATAATAAAATATACCCATTTTAAATGTGTAGTTCAATGGCTTTTAACAAATGCATACACCATTGTAACCACCACCATAATCAAGATATAGAGCATTTCCTTAATCCCGAAAGTTCTCTCCTGCCCCACTTGCAGTCAATCCCACACCCCAGCACCTCAGCTCAAGGACATCACTGATCTGCTTCCAGGCTTTTCTAGGATTTCATATGATACGGCGTATTGTTTTTCACACTTGGCTTCTTCACTTAATTCTTTTGAGACTCATCCAGGTTACTGCATATATCAATAGTTCATTCCCCCACACCCTTTTTTTTTTCACTCTCAAGTGCTGGCAACATTCCTTTTTTTATTAAGTAGTAGTATAAATAAAGCAGCTATGAACATTCATTTTCATTTCTCTTGAATAAGTATCTAACAGTGGGGTTGCTGGGTCATATAGTGTATGTTTAACCTTATAAGAGACTGCTAAACTGTTTTCTAAAATGGTTGTACCATTTTGTTTTTCCACCAGGAATATATGAAAGTTCCAGTTACTCCACATCCTTGGCAACACATGGTATTGTCAGTCTTTTTAGGTTTTTAGCCATTCTAATGGGTGTGTAGTGGTAACTCACTGTGGTATCAATTTGTATTTCCCTGATAACTAACATTATTGAGCATCTTTTTGTGTGCTAATTGGCCATGAATATATCTGCTTTTCTGGAGCATCTATGCAAATCTTTTGGCATTTGTAATTAGTTGAGTTTTTTCTTATTATTGAGCTTCAGGAATTATTTACAAATTCTAGATTGCAGTCTTCTGGTATATGTATTGAAAATATTTTCTTCCAGACTGTGGCTTGTCTTTTCATCTTCTTAAAATTAAAGAGCAGGTTGGGTATGGTGGTTCAGGCTTATGATTCCAGCACTTTGGAAGGCCAAAGCAGGAGAATCGCCTCAGGCCAGGAGTTTGAGACCATCCTGGACAACATGACAAAACCTCATCTCTACAAAAAATAAAATAATAAAAAAATTAGCCAAGCATGGTGGCACATGCCTGTGGTTCGAGCCACTTAGTAGGCTGCGGTAGGAGGAGCACTTGAGCTCGAGAGTTTAAGGCTGCAGAGTGAGCCCATTTCATACTGCTGCATTCCAGCCTGGGTAACAGAGCAAGACCCTGACTCAAAAAACAAACAAACCAAAGGAAAAAAAAACCCTCAAGAGCAGATGTTTTAAATTTAAATTTGATGAAGTTCAAGGTTTTTTTTCTTTTTTGAATCATGCTTTTTGTGTTCTATATAAGATTTTCCTGATGCAAAGTCAAAAAGATTTTTTGTCTTATTCTAAAAGTTTTATAGTTTTCACCTTTATGATTTATTTTGAGTTACTTTTTTACATGGACTTTGGTCAGAGTGAAGGTTCATTTTTTTCCCAAATAGATATCCAACAGTTACAGTAGAATTTGTTGAAAAGATTATCCTTTGCTTATTGAGTTACTTTGATACTTTTGTCTGAAGCAATTAATCATGAATGTATAAGTATATTTCTTGATTTTTGTTGTTATATTCTATTGGTCTATATGTTTGTCCTTCTGTGTTCATATTTTAAAACTATGGCAATTCATTGTTGCTAAATGTTCTTGTGATGTCACATGCTAAACCCCTCAGACGTAATTCATATCATATAGCCTAGCTTCCTGAGATAAGAAACCCTGGCTCCAGCTTACTGTCCTGGACTCCTCTTATATCTAAGAAAACAAAGAGTTCATAAGAGTAATTTCAAAAATTAATTAGGCAGAGGAAGTAAGGAGGAAAAAAAAGAGATGTGATATCTTTTTGCCAGAATTCTGGTTATTCAAGTTAAACTTCTTTGGAGAGATAAAGAAAAAAAGTGAACTGCAGGGATACGCCTCTGGCTTCAAGTGAAAAAAATGTGACTCTTATAAAGTGAGACACCATCCCATTTTATAATATTGCAATGTGACAATGGATGTTGGGTTAAAACAATCTCCTTCTTAAAGGTAGCATATACTTTTTTCCTCTCAAGTGAATATTTCAGTTCATGATTATTTATTTTTGCAAAGCCATCCATTTAATTGTTTCAAATTTGTGAGGAACAAAGTTTTTGGATAAGAAGTTGTAGCACAGCTTTTCTATGTCTCAAAAGTAACTGCTGTAGGTAAAATGTCTGATTTACTAAAGTTTGAACTGGTTTGGAAAGGCAGTAAGTTCATTTCTAGTTCAGGTCTTTAGAAATTATTGTAAGATTTAATAAGACCCTGCAGTTGTTTTTGTTTAGCAATTGTTCATATCAAACAGGTTCTTTGTGGTTTTGCCAAAAACAGACAGTATATTTGGCTTTTTCTACCGTAGACACTTTCCTACATCAAATTCTACATCAATTCAACATGGCAAGGCTGACAGAAAATCAAGGTCAAATGAGGAAATTCGACAAATGGTTTTTATCTGGCTTCACACTGACCACCAACTGGGAGACACCGTAAGAAAAACTGTGCAGGATATAAATGATAGGATAAAAGTACATTTTTTACTATGGGTCCAGGCTCTCATAAAAGAAGCAGGCCTAAGATTTATAGGAAATGATGTGGGAATGAATTCAAAGTGCTGAAGAATCACAAATTGCTTTTTTACTTAACTAAAAAAATCACCATGCTTTAAAAATCCTCCACTAGTAGCTTTTTCTCCTGAATTTGCACTCTTAATAATTTTCTCTTATAATCCCATCTGATGTTGTTATTTTAGGGAAAACCAGGTTAACAGAAGAACCTTTATCAGATGTGCGGATCATAGCAAATTCCTGGCACTTAGTAAACACAACACTGATAGAATAAAGGGAGGTTTACATGAGGCGGAACAAGTAAATTATCTCTAATAATAATGGATAATTTGTGTATGACATTTTACTGATGAGAAAAACTCCTTTAACCAAAAGATGCTCAATATTTTTGTTAGCTGCTTCATTTCCATTACTTTAAGTTAATACGTTATTAATATAACAGCATGAATAAAAAATATGATAATCCATTTTTTAAAAAACAAACTTAACGGTGCAAAACAGGTGACTTACGAAGGGAGCAGGGAAGCTTAAAGGAGCCTCATATCTGTCTTCCTGAGACAAAAGGATAAATAATTGACTGAGATGTAAATACCAGGACATAGACGCTCCTAGGATGTAAAAGAAAATTTTCCGTTCAGAGCCAATGTCAAAGTACAAAAAAAAAAGTCTTGAGGCAGCTAATGAGAAAGAATACAGGAGAGCAAAGAGTAACTTTAAAGGCTGTAGATATAGGATTTCCTTTTTCTTCCTCCGAGAAGAGAACTGCAAAAAACGTAGAGTGGGAAATACTGGACTTAAATTCCTTTCTTAAGGTTTAGGAACAAAAAAGTAAAGCGAGAAGGAAAATAGGATCAAGGACTTGTACAGCAGGAAGTTGTCCCATAAGCATTTAGTCCAGGGATCTGCCATTCTTTTTAAGAGCTAAAACCAAGAATTCGTGTACAAAAGTGGAAAGACAAGAAGCGCGATGGCTCCCGCCTGTAATCCCAGCACTTTGTGCAGCCGAGGCGGGCAGATCACCTGAGGTCAGGAGTTCGAAACCAGACTGACCAACAGGGAGAAATCCCGTCTCTACTAAAAATACAAAAAATTAGCCGGGCATGGCGGCGGATGCCTGTAACCTCACCTACTCGGGAGGCCGAGGCAGGACAATCGCTTGAACCCGGGAGGCGGAGGTTGCTGTGAGCCGAGATTGCACCACTGCACTCCAGCCTGGATAACAAGAGCGAAACTCCGTCGAAAAGAAAAGAGGCAGAAAGAGAGGAAAAGAGAGGGAAAGAAAAGGAAAGGAAGGAAGGAAGGAATTTGAAAGGAAGGAGGGAAGGAAGGAAGGAAGGAGACGGAAGAGGAAAGGGAGCGAGAAAGAAAAGAAAGAAAAAGAAGAAAGAAGAGAAGCCGCTGCAGCGGAAGAAGCGGAGAGGAGCGGGGCGTGGCAGAGGCACGCAGAAGCCGCACGAGACGCCCGTGTCCCATCCTAATGCCCCTAGCTATGCGGAAACCACCACCGAGTCCAGACGTCTCACTTTACACCGAAGATACAGACGCTGAGAACCAAATGACCTGCTCACGGTCACAGCACAAAGCCTGTGGGTCCAGTGTCTACAGTAACCAACTTCCGGGTTTGCGACTAAAGGGAGCCAATGAGCGAGAGAGCGTTTAATCAGACGAGCTGGCTGAGGGTAGATGGAAATCCCGCCCGGACCACCGCGGCTACCAAAGCTCTTCCGTGTGCCGCCACCAGATGGCGCGCTGGGCCCGCCGTTCGCGGCTACGCAAGGGCGGGTGGGGAGGGAGTGAAGAGGACTTCGGTTGCCTTGGAAATGCAGGGCGGGGCAGCGACTGCAGTGCAGCGGGCGGGCCTGGTAGGCGGGCTGAACTGGAGTGCAGGCTATCGGCCTACGGCCCCGGGTATCCGCCCCCGGAAGCTGTGGAAGGGATATAAGGAGACTGGCTGGCCTCCTTTCTTGGCCCCTGACGCCTTCCAGTCTGACACTGAAGACTTTATAAATGTCCCCGCCCCCTCCCTCCAAGGGCCTTTCCTCGCGGCCTGGGCTTGCGCCACTTCGAGATATTCCTGGGGGTCGCGCCCTTCTGGTCTCGTCCACGAAGCGTCGTTCTTGAGCGTTAGGAGCTGCTGGAAAGGGTTCTGACAGACCCACCCCTCTTCACCCAGGAGGTGAGAAGGAGGGCAGGCCTTCTTAATCTGCTCAGAGTGTTAAGTCATCGCTCACCACCTTGGGTAGAAGCCCTGGATACATTGCTTGCCCTCTCGGAAGGCAGGCTCTGAATTTGATTCAGGTTTGTCACCTTCACGGTTCCCTCACACAGCCCCTACCACGCGGCAGACGCGGAGTAGACTAAGAATGCCTTCCATTCTTATGAGGCTTTATCACTTAGTTTTCACAAAGCGTCGGGAGCCTCATAATGGCCCGGACAGATGGAGGAGGAAACAGCTCAGAGGTTCAGAGACTTGGCCGAGGTTATACAACGCTGTGCAGGGCTGGGACTAGGCTCGGTCTAGCTTCTCTCAGGGCCCCTCTCATCAAATTCCCAGTCTAGTGAATGCTTTCTGAGTAAGGACCTCACATATTCTTGTTTCCTTCTCCATACCAGCTCTTCCCCTGTAGGTACTTCATATGCACTGTGTTACTGATGTCTTTTATCCTCATATCCCAATTCATAGATTGGTTTCAACTTCTTGCTCTAGATACAACATTCTTCTAAAGATAACAGTTGGTTTCTTTTATGAATTTTTTTTGAGCGGGGGGGACAGAGTCTCTCTGTTGCCCAGGCTGGAGTGCAGTCGTGTGATCTCAGCTTACTGCCCCGTCGGTTCAAGCGATTCTCCTGCCTCAGCCTCCTGAGTAGTACCTAGGATCAGAGGCGCCACCATCACGCCTGGCTAATTTTTGTATTTTTAGTAGAGATGGGGTTTCACCATCTTGGCCAGGCTGCTCTCGAACTCCTGACCTCGTGATCCACCCACCTCGGTCTCCCAAAGTGCTGGGATCACAGGTGTGAGCCACTGCACCCAGACTTTTTATGAATTTGTCACATTTGTACAGTGCCATGTTTGTTTCCTCACTCCCTTCCGTATCCCCTAATTTTCTGCTGGGCAAGAGAGAGAGCTGAGCACGTGATTAGGAGATGGGGAAAAGTGCCCTATCTAAGCCATAAGAAAAGAAAGATTCCTGCTATGACAGAGAAGAAAAATAATGACTGGATATTTATCAGTCTATGTGATAATTGCTGAAATAGACTGATGATTGCCTTATAGCCACCGCCAGAAGATCCTCTTTAGACTCACTACTGCTCTTTGAAGGTGGAAAGAAGCCTTTTTATTCTCCACCATAGAGTATAAAATTATTGCATATTTTCTCCTTATCCTCACAATAATATTTTCATGGTTATTTTTCTTTTCTTTGTTGATATTGCTAAAACTGAAGGACAGTAAATCTTGGAAAAAAGGTGGTTCTGGTTACTAGAGAAGTTAGTGTAATATACTGCATTTCAAACTATTTGATATTAGCAATTCTGGATCAGAAGATGGACTAATTTTAATGCTAAGACTCCAATATAATTTGGGTACTACAGTAGAAAAATGTGCCACTGACTGAAGGATTGGCATTGGTGAAGAAAATACATGGAGAAAATACATATACATCATCAACCATCCAAGTGACACTCGAAAATGCCACTTATCTAGATATTTTAAAATACCTTGATTTTAAAATATGATTTTAACACATTTCCAAACCAGACGAATTTTACATTTTAACACTATTTTGGGCCATATCATATATACATAATCTATACAAAAAGAGGTCTCAATTTTTAAAACTAATGCTTAAGTGGTACTATTACTATGAAATGGCTTTAAATTAATTCAGGATTTTTAAAAACATTTACTGGAAACCATTTTAATTGAGTCAAAAAATGTTTTTGGAGAATAGGACTCAAGATGGCGCTGTGAGAACAACCCAGGATTGGAGCTCGCGTTGTGTCCGCGGAAACGTGAGTCTGAGCTGCATTTCCAGACTGATCTTTGTTGCCCACGGAACGGGGAAAATCCCAAGTGAAGAGGAGACGCGGGACGCCAGGCAGAACTTCCGCCTGGCGAAGCCAGCAGCCGGGGTGGCGGCGGCCGGCCCTACCCAGCGCTCCCCACAGGGCGCGCTTGTCAGGGTGCCCCATTGAACCGGCAACAGGAGACGTGAGAGGGCTGGACTTGAGACTGAGCTAGACTTGGACAGTGGGCCAGCCAGGGGATCGCAGGGACAGAGCGTTAGGGTTGGCCCAGTGGGACGAACAAAACCGCGATTTCAAACAAGCCCCGGGCAGACGCCCGAGACGCTCTGAGGGGGAGGGGCGTCCACCATTACCAAGGCAACCCGCCCCAACTGAGATACACGCCCATTGCTGACGCAGCCAGCCGGTGCCGAGGCAACCTGTCCCTACTGAGATACACGCCCACTGCTGACAAAGCCTGCCATTGCCGAGGCAACCCGTCCCTACTGAGATACACGCCCACTGCTGACGCAGCCTGCCGTTGCCGAGGCAACCCGTCCCTACTGAGATACACGCCCACTGCTGACGCAGCCTGCCGTTGCCGAGGCAACCTGTCCCTACTGAGATACACGCCCATTGCTGACGCAGCCTGCCGTTGCCGAGGCAACCCGCTACAACAGAGAGACTCCGCCAGCCCTGTGGCGGAGACCACAGCAGAGCCTGCAGGAACAGGGCAAATCACACAACAGCAGGGCGGAGCCTCGGCAGCCAAACAGTGGCTAGTCTGCGTCCTAGCTGGGCAGGACCTCAACAGACATCCAAAAATAAAGCCCAAACCCCTCAACACAGAGCATTTGAGGAAAAAAAAGGGTTTTTTAATGAGCTCATTTGCTGCAGAATCAAACATAGCAGCCTAACAGCCCTGAATGAACAACAGAGCTCACAGCTCAGCAATTAAGCCCCTATAAAGTACAAACTGTCTCCTCAAGCAGCTCCCTGACCCCTCTATATCCAAAAGACTGACATTTGGTAGGCATCATCCTGGGACAAAGATAGCAGAAAAAGAAACTGGTAGCATCCCTCGCTGTGCCACAGCTGCTAGAGGTGCACCCCAGACAAGCAGGATCTGGAGCGGACCTCAGCAGTCGTACAGCAAAGGGGCTAGACTGGTAGAAGGAAAACCAAGCAACAGAAATACTTCATCATCAACATTCTGGGTGTCCACTCAGAGACCCAATCGAAAAGTCAGCAACTACGCAGACGACCAGTGGACAAATCCACAAAGATGGGAAGAAACCAGCGCAAAAAGGAGGAAAACACCCGAAACCAGAACACCTCGCCTCCTAGAAAGGACCAAAACTCCTCACCAGCAAGGGAACAAAGCTGGACGGAGAAAGACTGTGATGAAATGACGGAATTAGACTTCAGAAGATGGATAATGAGAAACTTTGGTGAGCTAAAAGATCATGTATTAAATCAATGCAAAGAAACTAAGAACCTTGAAAAAAGATTTGAAAAAAGATTCGAGGAAATGATAACAAGAATGGATAACTTAGAGAGGAATATGAATGAATGAAAGGAGCTGAAAAACACAATACGAGAACTTCGCGAAGCAAACATAAGTTTCAATAGCCGAATTGACCAAGCAGAAGAAAGAATATCTGAAGTCGAAGACCAACTCAATGAAATAAAATGAGAAACCAAGATTAGAGAAAAAAGCGCAAAAAGGAATGAACAAAGTCTCGGAGAAATGTGGGACTATGTGAAAAGACCTAACCTACATTTGATAGGTGTACCAGAAGGGGACGAAGAGAATGAATCCAAGCTGGAAAATACTCTTCAGGACATCATCCAGGAAAATTTCCCCCACCTAGCAAGACAAGCCAACACTCAATTGCAGGAAATACAGAGAACACCACAAAGATATTCCGCAAGAAGAGCAACCCCAAGGCACATAATTGTTAGATTCAACAGGGTTGAAATAAAGGAGAGAATACTAAGGGCAGCCAGAGAGAAAGGTCGGGTCACCCACAAAGGGAAGCCCATCAGACTCACAGCAGATCTCTCGGCAGAAACACTACAAGCCAGAAGAGAGTGGGGGCCAATATTCAACATTCTTAAAGAAAAGAACTTTCAACCCAGAATTTCATATCCAGCCAAACTGAGCTTCAGAAGTGAAGGAAAAATAAAATCCTTTGCGAACAAGCAAGTACTCAGAGATTTTGTCACCACCAGGCCTGCTTTACAACAGCTCCTGAAAGAGGCACTACACATAGAAAGGATCAACCAGTACCAGCCATTCCAAAATCACACTGAATGCTAAAGAGCATCAACATAATGAAGAATCTACAAAAACTAACAGGCAAAACAGCCACTTAGCATCAAAATGGCAGTATCAAATTCACACATAACAATATTAACCCTAAATGTAAATGGACTAAATGCACCAATCAAAAGACACAGACTGGCAAATTGGATAAAAATCCAAAACCCATCAGTGTGCTGTATACAGGAAATCCATCTCACATGCAAGGATACACACAGGCTCAAAATAAAGGGATGGAGGAAGTGCCCATATGCAATAAGTGCCCATATGAGGAGAATGGAGAGATCCAAAATTGACACCCTATCGTCAAAATTGAAAGAGCTAGAGGAGCAAGATCAAAAAAACTCAAAACCCAGCAGAAGACAAGAAATAACTAAGAGCAGAGCTGAGCTGAAGGAGATTGAGACACGAAAAACCCTTCAAAAAATCAATAAATCCAAGAGCTGGTTTTTTGAAAAGATCAACAAAATAGACAGACCACTAGCCAGATTGATTAAAAATAAAAGAGAGAACAATCAAATAGATGCAATAAAAAATGATAAAGGGGAAATCACCACAGATTCCACAGAAATTCAAACCATCATCAGAGAATATTACAAACAACTCTATGCACATAAACTAGTAAACCTGGAAGAAATGGATAAATTCCTGGACTCCTGTGTCCTCCCAAGCCTAAACCAGGAGGAAGCTGAAACTATGAATAGACCAATAACAAGGTCTGAAGTTGAGGCAGCAATTAAGAGCCTACCACACAAAAAAAGCCCAGGTCCAGACGGGTTCACAGCCGAATTCTACCAGACACACAAGGAGGAGCTGGTACCATTCCTTCTAAAACTATTTCAAACAATCCAAAAAGAGGGAATCCTCCCCAAATCATTTTATGAGACCAACATCATCCTGATACCAAAACCCGGCAGAGACCCAACGAGAAAAGAAAACTTCAGGCCAATATCCATGATGAACATAGATGCAAAAATCTTCAATAAAATATTGGCAAGCCGATTGCAACAGCAAATCAAAAAACTTATTCATCATGATCAAGTAGGATTCATCCCGGGGATGCAAGGCTGGTTCAACATACGCAAGTCTATCAATGTAATTCACCACATAAACAGAACCAAAAACAAAAACCACATGATTTTCTCAATTGACGCAGAGAAGGCATTTGACAAAATTCAACAGCCCTTTATGCTAAAAACCCTCAATAAACTCGGTATCGATGGAACGTATCTCAAAGTAATAAAAGCTATTTACGACAAACCAACAGCCAATATCATACTGAATGGGCAAAAACTGGAAGCATTCCCTTTGAAATCTGGCACTAGACAAGGATGCCCTCTCTCACCACTCCTATTCAATATAGTACTGGAAGTTCTAGCCGGAGCAATCAGGCAAGAAAAAGAAATAAAGGGTATTCAAATAGGAAAGGTGGAAGCCAAATTGTCTCTATTTGCAGACGACATGATAGTATACCTAGAAGACCCCATCGCCTCTGCCCAAAAACTCCTGAAACTGATAAGCAGCTTCAGCAAAGTGTCAGGATATAAAATCAATGTGCAAAAATCACAAGCATTTGTCTACACCAATAACAGACTTAAAGAAAGCCAAATCAAGAGCGAACTGCCATTCGCAATTGCTACAAAAAGAATAAAATACCTTGGAATACAACTCACAAGGAACGTAAGAGACCTCTTCAAGGAGAACTACAAACCACTGCTCAACGAAATCAGAGAGGACACAAACAGATGGAGAAACATTCCATGTTCATGGTTAGGAAGAATTAATATCGTGAAAATGGCTATACTGCCTAAAGTAATTTACAGAATCAACACTATCCCCATCAAGCTACCATCGACTTTCTTCACAGAACTGGAAAAAACCACCATGAACTTCATATGGAACCAAAAGAGAGCCTGCATAGCCAAGTCAATTCTAAGCAAAAAGAACACAGCGGGGGGCATCACACTACTGGATTTCAAACTATACTACAAGCCTACAGTAATCAAAACAGCATGGTACTGGTACCAAAACAGAGATATAGACCAATGGAACAAAACAGAGGCACCGGAGGCAACACAACATACATACAACTATATAATCTTTGATAAACCTGACAAAAACAAGCAATGGGGAAAGGATTCCATGTTTAACAAATGGTGTTGGGAAAACTGGCTGGCCATGTGCAGAAAGCAGAAACTGGACCCCTTCCTGACACCTTACACTAAAATTAACTCCAGATGGATTAAAGACTTAAACATAAGACCTGGCACCATAAAAACCCTAGAAGGAAATCTAGGCAAAACTATCCAGGACATAGGAGTAGGCAAGGACTTCATGAACAAAACACCAAAAGCATTGGTAACAAAAGCCAAAATAGACAAATGGGACCTAATGAAACTCCACAGCTTCTGCACGGCAAAAGAAACAGTCACTAGAGTGGATCGGCAACCAACAGAATGGGAAAAAATTTTCGCAGTCTACCCATCTGACAAAGGGCTGATATCCAGAATTTACAAAGAACTCAAACAGATTTACAGGAAAAAAACAAACAAGCCCATTCAAAAGTGGGCAAAGGATATGAACAGATACTTTACGAAAGAAGACATATATGAGGCCAACAATCATATGAAAAAATGCCCATCGTCACTGGTCATCAGAGAGATGCAAATCAAAACCACAT